GTGAAGGAAAAGGGAAACACCTATTCTAACACCTAATTGAGGCTAGCTCTTTCTAACGGACCCAACAGAATAGGTGTTTCCCTTTTCCTTCACCTGAGGACGGAAACAGATCCAGTTTCCGAAACGTCGTGTTTTTATTTGTTATCTTAAAAACCAGGACGATGGATAAAGTCCAAAAACCCAATATATCAGTGTGTTATACACCGTCGTCAGAATCCTATAGTAACTACTTAGAAAATGTAATTCTTGTAAGCACATATCATTTACAGAAGCATGCAAAATGTTTTTTTACTTTGAAACGGGCCTGGAATGAGGGCTGGGTAATGTGCGGAGAGCAATATGGGTGCATGTAATATTTCTAAATTGTTTGGATTGGTGAGTATTTATCAACATTCTCGACGTGTAATGAAAAGATATGAGTACGTGATGTAGTCTGGCAACTTGAAAGCACGAGCAAGTACAGTGTTCCATATTGCCCACCAAAACAAACACAAAATTGGTTCCTGTATACCAAGTAACAGAATTCAACGGGGTACATTATTGTCACGTGCTTGGATTGACTGTATGCGGGGCTTGGATTGGTTATTGGATTTATTGGAAACTCACATAACATAACTACAAGTAACTATAGCACTGTCGCTAATTCACACACTCTACATTTCACTACAGCACGTACTGAGTGTTCTCATTCTACTGTGTCTTCACCACTCGTTTCCTGGTGACGGATCTCAACAATGTCCTCTGCTTCCATACCCACGTTCTCACCGGCTAACAACTGTCCCACAACTGTCCTGCTTATAACATTTCGGCACGGTGGCACAGAGAACGTCGTTTCTTTGTTGCTGTTTCTAATTGTTGCCATGATATTTGTTTGAAAGCCGTTATTCAGTAACGGCTGTTGTATATTTGTTTATGTAGATAGTATAATCTATAGTACATCGTTGTATAGTCTACAGTGTGTGTAATATAATCTGTAGTACATCCCTGTAGTATAGTCTGTAGTGTGTGTGTGTGTGTGGTACATGTCTAATATAGTCTGTACTATAGACAATCCAGCTCGTTGAATCAAGCTTCACTTCATGGCTTAGAGTCCATGCAGTAAAGTCAATAAGAAACTGATATGAGGGAGAGTCGGTAAATACAGCTGCAATAGACGAAAGAGATGTTGTGTATGTGTATCACTAGGTAACAGCACAGTCCAGCTGTATAGCACTCCAGGTAACAGACGCGCATGCGTATGTTCAGAGGCTAGTTTCAGTAGTCAGAATGGCGACCTTGCCTGAAGAATATACTACCGAAGAGCAGCGTTCTGTTGTCCGTTTCTTGTGGGCAAAAGGACTCAATGCAAATGACATTCAAAAGCAATGTTTCCTCTTTACGGTGGGAAGTGTTTGTCGAGACATGTATGCTGGGGTTTCGACTCACTGGAAAAGCGATGGGACAAGTGTAATCAGTATTGGTCGAGAAATACATGTTTTTCCCTCAGATTCGAGTATCACATGTTTTACGTTTTATATCCTTTTGTGATCTTTTTACTGATTCTTTCTCGTATGTGTGGCCTCTCGAAAATGTATTAACCGACTCCTCCACTAGNATTTTCTACTTGCAAACAAGTATTCTCCTTCTAGCTTTCATTTATGAAGATATCAAGCAAAAATGAATTTGTGTTCCGTAATACCCCAAGTTTCCTGCACAGATTTTGATACGCTTCAATGCCCGATGAGTTCGCTGGTTCTTTCAGTCTTTCAACATCCTGGGAGTAAAGGGCGGCCTGAGCGTAAGACAGACAACTTCACCGCCGTCTGTGAGCCAATTGCCTAGAAAATGCGTAGCCTTGACGTCTCACAACGCTATGGGCCTCCAAGGCTTGTTACAGGGATAGCTATTGTTAGGCAACACACGGATCAGTAAACAGGGCTCCTTAACAACAGAGACTGTTTTCTGCGTGGTTCGTGCAAAGTAGTTATAGAGAAGAGTTCATATATCTGGTCATGAGCTTTAGATGGGACTCGACACCAACACTTACTGACTGACTGACCGTCAGTAGCAATGTGACTGACTTGAGAAGCAGCAGCAGAGCATAGTCGAGTTTCGAGTCGCCAGCCTGCCGGGATATAAACAGAGTCGAGTCTTCGGAATTGGCAGCTGCAGAAATGGCAAGACTGGAGTTGGGCTGTGAAAAGAAGACTTCATGTGTGATTTGAAGTTACAGTGAGACTGGGATAAATCCGTTGCCAGGATACGGCTAGTGAAGACTGTGAACCCTAGTGCGTGTGCAACGGTGAAACTGTAAATTATGTAGCTCAGTGATAACGCTGTATTGTCTGTAGTCCCGAGCTGTATGAATGTATATAAGGCGTCGATAAAACCATCATCAAACCTAGAGCCGGTCTTACAAGTCATGCAAAACCTATGCAAGTGACAGAATACATGTATATACTCAATACTGCAAGTGCGTGTGTCCGTAATCTGTTTCTAGTTAACACACGTGTTAGGTCCACATCTGCATGTGGCAGGAGCGTAAGTCAAGTTTCCTTTCAACTCGCGGTTCCATTGCATCGCGAATTTACACAAGACCAGCTACGCAACGTACGCCAAGTATTTATATATCTTCGCATCACCAGTAATGTTCACCACGGCCAGCTGTAGACAGACGGACAATACGCCAACTAGCGTCTCTGTTCCGGTCTATAAACTGCAGACAATTTTAAGTTAGCGCAATTCCTTGACCCGGTACTCAACGGCTATTCAAGGCTTCTAAGTGGTGATCCTGGCTCAGTGCCAAAATTCAACTATCCAAGTTCCGATAAGCAGACTTTTTATGAACACTGACAGGCGTGCCCAGTTTTCGCCGTAATGTAACAAGGTACAGTAAACGGAGAAGGGGCCATAACGCGTTCCAGGACAGCTGCGCCCTCACAACATCCGCTTACACTTGAAAGAAACACCACAGAATGTAATCAGTGCTTCAATACGATTCAGCGGCAATAAATCGCCTCTCTGGCCAGAACACTGCCAAGTTCCTTTCGTAATTCACTTTCATGTGGCTTATTTAAAGGCTCCTTTAATATATCAGCGCAGTTGGTTGAGGCACTACGCTACAAGCCCCAAGGTCGTGGGTCTGATGCACGATGAGGTCACTGGATTTTTAAATTGACCTAATCCTTCCAGCCGCACCATGGCCCTGGGGTCGACTCAGCCTCTAACAGAAACAAGCACCAGGAATCTTCCTGAGGATACAAGGGCGTGTAAGCCTGACCTCAACGCCATCTGTGAGCCGATTATCTAGAAAATGTGGGATCTTCGACGTCTCACAACCCTAAGGGCCACCACGGCCTCTTACAGGGATGGCTTTAACTTTGTTATTCAATACGTCGAACTATATACCGCAGAATAGTAGGACAATTCGCTAGGTAAGGATTTGAAAGGAAACGGTCGTGATTTAATCCAGGGACTACGCCGGTATTTTCATGGAGAAAACTGCGAAGAATCCTCAACTGTTCTTCAGTGACATGCGTCATACATTCCCTTCTTATGGTGACAGCATCTTTATTTGCTGTCGGCTGGACGACTAAGGGGTCGGAGTTCGAGTCCCGGTAGAGTCAAGAATTTTCTCTTCTCTAAATTATCCAAACCGGCTCTGGGGTCCACCCAACCTCCTACCTAGCGGGAATGGGGGGCTCTTTTCCCGGGGGTAAAGCGGCGGGGGCGTGAAGCTGACCCCTCACCTCCAGCTAGTGACGAGGTCAAGAAAACTTGGACCTATAAAACAACTCCACCATACGCGTTCATGGTGCAGTGCTTAATTCGTTGAGCACAGGAACAATTTTACCTTTCACCTTTTTACGAATTTTAGTTCTACTCCTGAGTTCAGCGAACAATAAATCGCCTGCCACAATTGCAGAGTCTTCGAGCACAGTATCATCCCCAAAGGGTTTATTCTTCTGTTGCTTCTAATCCTCCTTCTCCTCCTCCTTCTCCTCGTATCATCCCCAAAAGGTTTATTCTTCTGTTGCTTCTACTCCTCCTTCTCCTCGTATCATCCACAAAGGGTTTATTCTTCTGTTGCTTCTACTGCTCCTCCTCCTCGCGTACCGCGCCATTTTCAGGGAAATGCGAAAAACACGTTTTATTATTTAAAATCCCTCCACGGGCAACATGTTGCCCCCGACCTGTCACATTCCTGCAAACTTATAAGCAAATTATAGTTTTGTGTGTATACTCTTTGGGGGCGCGTGGTAGCGTTGAGGTTCTATGCTACAATCCGGAAGGTCACGGGTTCGATTTCCGATGAGATCACTGGATTTTTTCAGTTGACCTAATACTTCTGGTCGCTCTATGGCCCTGGGGTCGACTCAGCCTCTAACAAAAATGAGTACCAGGAATCTTCCTGGAGGTAAAGGGACACTTGCCGGCGCGTAAGGCTGATAACCTCAACGCCATCTGTCAGCCGACTGTCTAGAGCAAAATGTGTGAGCCTCGACGTCTCACAATCATATGGACCTCCATGGCCTGATACAGGGATAGCTTTACCTTACATTTAATATTCACGGATTCAGATACGACTTATTAAGGGAGAATACAACTAAAATAAAAAAATTAAATAAACGTCGTAAAGAATTCTCTCGCCAAACAAATATCAGCCCGCTGGACTTGCGTGTCTCACGGCTGTAATCATGCAGAGCTCTGCCTTCCCATTTGTAGCGCCCTGTGGTTCGGTGAAAGCTCGAACTCTCCGAGATATACGTACATCGTCATCTTCACAAGTAAGAAAGCTCAGGTCAGCTTACACACTGTTTACGCTGGCTTCGTGCTTAGCTTACTGTTCGAACTCTACTATACCCCGAAAGACTGGCCAGTTAGTGGTCCCAACTCCATGTGAAGCCATTCTGAAAGCATGCCACGTCAGAAAGCTCAGTTTGTAATATGGTGGCATTATTTGGAATGAGATTAAAGTAACTGACTCTGCCTGTTCATTCGAAACCGCTAATTACCTGTGACTGCATCCCGAAATGCCGAGCTAAGAATGCTTCGAAAGGTACACAATACTAGTGTTCCGTTTAATGCAGCGGAGCCGCAGAAAGTCGATGAACAGTATATCGACGTGACTACATCCATTTGACGTCGAGTGCCACCGCGAGGGTGCGCCCTGACTCTGGTTCTGTTGCTGTGGGCACATCGCGGGGGCAGTTCAGTCCCTGCCTACCCTTCAGCTGCTGCGGACGCCTCCAGGTAAGTCAAATCGTACGGACAGACAGAATTTGCCTACTGATTCGTCTGACTGCAACAATTTATTTGGTGTCTCATTTCACATAAACACAGTTTTAGTTAAATTCAGCATATCATTAGCATTCTTGTGTACTTAAAAATGTTTACATAAAGAGGTATAATCAATCATGCATCACATTAAATCACTGATCGTCAAAGTTTCTGATGTATTAATGATATTAATTTATCACCGTGCACACATAATTCCTTCCTGCAGATATGTCAACTGAACATATTCAGCCCTTGTTGAAACCACGACTGAAACGTCACGCGTATTATAAAAAAAAATGAATACTGTCAAAATTATTTTGAAGAGCAAGAAATCCCACCTTTCGTGTAACGGTGTCTTATTCCACACTTATTTACAGGTCATTCGGCTGTCACTAAGTTCAGTGTTCGAACAATCAGTTATTATCCTGTATAAGATTTGAGGCTTTCACGGCGGTGACTATGAAGAAAGCAGTCTTCTGGGATTTGGCACCGTGTATATGTGGTGTTAACCGACGTTTCGGAGGAACGTATCGCCCCCATCTTCAGGNTCCTGTAGTCGTTTGAAAACAGCAAATTCTCTAAGGCACTACCACATGCAGAAGCATACCGCCCATCCAAACAGTGCAACCACGAAAACAATGACTCTACCTTTGGAAGCAGCAACACCGCCGTAACATTCCTGAGTAGAAGACAACTGCACAGACATCAGCGGAAATAAATACTGAAGGAAGGGCGTTATGTGTAGATGTTAGACCTCAACATACGACAGACATACCAATAACATAATCTACGCAACTAACAGAAAAATTAATTATCCTTTATCACTTTCTACAAGTAATTTTATGCGTCTTCTTGTTGCATGCTGAATAGGGATATCGACCGATTTTTGTACAGTTTTCGCGGAGAAGTTGCAATGTCACATATGTTGCAAATCATTAACATTTGGCTGTACCGACCTTGTTTTGTGTTACAGACTTAACTATGGCCAGCTTCGATCTGCTTCCAGACGAGATACTTCTCAAGATATTCTCATACTTGGGCATTGATGACGTGGCCCTGTCTGTCAGAAATGTCTGCACTCGGTGGAGTAAGGTTTCAGACGACGATGAGATATGGGCGTACTTGCGTTACAGCCCCAATACAAACGACCCACTCGAACAAATTATATTCATGTTGGAAAATATGCCGGCTCTGAGACAATTTGAGTACACAGGAACCTGCAATGTCATAGAAAACCTATGTGAATGCTGCAGAAATGTCAGCGTTTTACATATTCCCTGCACCACATTAAATGCAACCCATCTTCAGTTAGTCATGGAAAGTCTAACCGAGTTGAGTGACCTTGGAATTCTAATGAGTCCTACGGAAGAAGGGCTTAAGATAACTCGCATTATTGGTCAATCCGTCACTCTTGCATGTTTACACCTGTACTCGTCTCATGAGGACACTACAATGCCCGGCCTGTTGAAGCCCATAGCAGACGGATGTCCAAATTTAGTCGTACTAGAATGCGAATCCTTCAACTGTCCAACCGATGAGATCTGTTACTTGCTGCAGCGCAAGAAGCGTCAGCTCCTGACATATGATCACTACGGGGCAGTCACTGCCAACTTCTTCGCGGCTCTCAAGGAGTGCACCAATCTGAAAAGTCTCTCCCTCATAGCAATCGAAATTTACGGTCTGTTTAATGAATCTCCTCCCGCGATGAATTTAAAAAATTTAAAAGCGTTACAGATATCAGACTGCAGGTTTCCCACGGTAAAAATAATCCCTCTAACTCTATTTCTGAACACATTGTCCCATTTATCGTACATTGGCATACCTCATACCAGCGGAAACATAGACGTTATTACGAATAAGATCCTGCTTAGGTGCCCATTGCTTACGCACCTCGATCTTGGTGGAAATGAACTTCACTGCAGAGGCCTGAGAAATATAAGGTCTTGTACAATGTTGAAGTACCTGGATGTTTCGGACTGCACACAGCTGGGCAAGAGGGCTATGAAGTACGTTGCTGAAGGCTGTCCGCAGTTGCAACACCTCGACGTGTCTTATATTCCAGTCTCAGACAGAATGTTCCGGCAAATTCTGAGATGTCGCAACCTGAAGGAACTGCTCATGAAAAACTGTGATTTAAGGCCCATTAATCTGGGATCTATTTCAACACATATTGACGGTTTACTGTATCTCTTCATTGGACCAGATTATCAGTTGCCACATTACGTCAGAGACCAACTGAAGCAGCAAATGCCCCAGCTGGTCATAGCTGAGTCTCCACTTACATGTGACGAGAGCGAATATCTCCGAATGAAAGACAAATTCATCCCCAGGCATTTTTGGTGACGAGTTAGTCTTGCGGACCACTGGAAAATATTTTAGAAGTACGTACATGAAATCCGAAGATCTGATCGTAGAAAAGTGAAGACTGAATCATTGCCAAGCAACCAAATGTCCGAGATTCCATCAGTTCGATTCGTGTATGATAATTTCGACATGCCAGTCCATTACTACTCAAATTTTATAATAGAATGTGCCTTCAGAGAAGAGCCCAATTTTATTCAAAGTGATATATTTATAATAATGGAAACATTTCTCTGGATTCACTACTAAGAAAGTAAGATTAATATGAAGTCAATTCTATAATTAAAATAGTCGTTTACGTGATATATCACGCTTTATTTTACATCAATTTGCATTTTACATATGTCACAAATATATAACTAGGCTTGTATACATTTCAATTACGTTAACAGTAGCCTTCCTTTTGTTATCCTGCGGAAATCAACTAACTACACCCCTCAACAAAGTGACGGGCTGTGTGCTAGGTGCAAACCTCGGGTCTAGAGTTTGAATGTCCACTCCTTTTGTGTGGATCTCAAAACACAGAAACACTTTACACTCTCTTGTCGCGTGGGCGCTGCCGTATTATCTCGCAAGATTTCGGATAAAACTAACTTTCTCCACGACCGAAGTGTAAGCTATTCAAGCAAGGAAAGAAGACAGAGTGAGAGTAAGTTCCTTGCTTCAGAACTTACCCTTCGACCGTGAACATGGCGGCAGTACGCTACTGCGAAACGTCTGTAAGCGTGTACAACAACACGCTACAGAGTGACGACGTGACAGCTGCCTCAAGCTCGGTCGTTATGCTAATATTATGCCCGATACTGCACACAGCCTGGGGCACATCTGGTGTACACTGAGGGTCCCACTCCGGTGTCTCAGTGACTGGTTACCGTACCCTGCCACTTCTAGTGGCAGCACCCTATTAGGGGCATTACTGTCTGTGAGGGAACGTAACACCGTGAGTGTTCAGTGAGAATTCCGGTAAGGAGAGGCAATCACATCTTAAAAATGATATCTAGACACACAAGATGGCGTAACGATGTTACGGTGTCTGAGGAAGAAAGAGCATCAGTAGTGTTTCAGACACAATATAGTTCAAAGCCGTAAGCAGAGACTCTGCTCCTAAACACATGGAACCAAACAAGAAATGTACTCGTCTTATCTCTGGTATCGAAAATGAAATCGCACTAGCCGCCGCTGAGTGCATCAGAGTCGCTTCTGAGATCAATGCTCAGTGCCTTTTCTGCGCATTTTTTTTCAATTATGGAGAGTCCGTTCGTTCTTACAGATTACTTTTCAAGATGATATTGGCAAATGCATTGCGTGAATAAGGTAGCTTGATAGATTCTAAAGGGTTCTGACGATGGTGTATAGCACACAGAATTACTGGGCTTTCGGACTTTATCCATCGTCCGGTATTCTGGAAAATAGAAAACACGACGATTTCTACCTCATTTTCTATCCTAGTTGCACGCATGCGCGTACTTTATCACAATTCTGATTTATATTTTCTTGCTGTCTCCCGCCGAACTGGCCTGGTCTCAGGTGACGAAACAGTTGCAGTGAATATGACAGTAGTCGAGGTTAACCCTCTCTAAGGGGCCCAACTGAGTAGGTTTCTACCTTCCTCACCTGAAGACGGAAACAGATCCAGTTTCCGACACGTCCTGTTTTCTGTTTTCCAGAATACCGAACGATAGAAAAAAATCCAAAAACCCAGTAATTCTGAATTTGTTCGGGTTCCATATTGGGCCCAATTCCAGTGACTGGAGTTTGTTCTCTCTAATAAACCCAACAGACTGAGTTCGTTGACACCCTCAGCTCTGCACGCAAACAGATTGGGTTTCCGAAGCGCTGTCTTGTGTAGCAATTTTTAGAATTTCTGATGGTGGAGTAAGTCCTAACTCCAGTATTTACGAATGTCACCCATCGTCATACCCCTTTAAAACCTAACCAGACAATTCAGGAACAAGGCAACAACAAACATACATACCCTCCATTCCAACTCCTTTAGTCTAACAAGAACTAGCCGTTAGAGGCTCCAATCTCTGTTTAACACAAACTCCATGGGGCGCCATAAAATGGTGCGGCATACAATTCTGAAAGTATGACGTCAAACATGAGATCCCGAAGTAATATTCAAAACCCCATTTCAAAAAGAATCCGCAGATTATTATAAATAAGAATACAATAAATAAATCTGCGTCTCCCATGACAACCGCCGGCTACATTTGGTGATATCTCGAATAACCAGCATAAGAATGCTTTTTTGTTTTATTCCTAGTGGGGTGGGAATAAGTCCCTTGTACTGCGGCCACTTCTGAACTATTGGACCAGCCCCAGATGATAGGTGAGGGTGATTGTGGAGCAATTGGAGGGATGAAGATTGGCAGGGGAAACCGAAGTACTCGCAGAAAATATGCCCCAGCGCCACATTGTCCACCAAAAATCCCACTTGACCAGACGCGGGATCAAACCCCAGCCGCCGCGGTGGGAAGCCAGCGACTAACCGCTTGAGCTATGGCGCGGCCCAACATAAGAATGCTTACAAACATATACTATTGATCTGTTTAATGTAGTGTAATCTTAAAATTTCGATACACTGCATATCGACGTGACTACATCGATTCGACGTCGAGTGCCACCGCGAGGGAGCGCCCTGACTCTGTTTCTGTTGATGTGGGCACATCGCGGGGGCAGATCAGTCCCTGCCTGCCCTTCAGCCGCTGCGGCCGCCTCCAGGTGAGTCAAATCGTACGGACAGTCACAATTTGCCTACTGATTCGTTTGACTGCAACAATTTATTTGGTAATCTTAACTTCATGCATCCTGCTGTGCTACAATATACAACTCTTTCATGAACCGTCACAACACAACAAATAGTAAAACATCAAAGTCAGCGTTCAGCTATGGCTTTGCTACATGTTTCGGCCAGTACCGGCCATCATCAGGCAAATACATATCAACAAAAGCTAGCATTTAACTGCAATCATAAAATGGATATAACACTATTAATCGTACAAATTTAAAAATGCTTATGTAAAAAATACAAAAGTTCAGATTATATAAAAATTAAAAATAGGAAGTATTATAGCAAGATAAAATATTAATGATGTTTTCAGTCGTTGTTTGCTTTCCATGCAATACGGACAATTCTTCTTAATGACGAGGTAGCATTACACAATTCATTAATTGCTACACCATGGGCCTCTCTTAAAATCTTGTATATAAAGTAATTTCGAATTTCCCTATTGTCTATGGAAACGCACAAAGTATATCCAACGACTGATTCAATGTTTTTGAAAAAATCATTAATATTATATCTTGCTATAATACTTCCAATTTTTAATTTTTATATAATCTGAACTTTTGTATTTTTTACATAAGCATTTTTAAATTTGTACGATTAATAGTGTTATATCCATTTTATGATTGCAGTTAAATGCTAGCTTTTGTTGATATGTATTTGCCTGATGATGGCCGGTACTGGCCGAAACATGTAGCAAAGCCATAGCTGAACGCTGACTTTGATGTTTTACTATTTGTTGTGTTGTGACGGTTCATTAAAGAGTTGTATTTTATTTGGTGTCTCATTTCACATAAAGACACTTTCAGTTTAATTCAGCATATCATTAGAATTCTTGTTTACTTAAAAATATTTACATAAAGGGGTATAATCCATCATGCATCACATTAAATCTTTGACCTCCAAGGTTTCTGTTATACTGACGGCAAAGTTCATCACGGTGAACACGTAATTCCTATCTCGAGGATGTGTAAACCTAATGAGAGCAATGTTCATATTCACCTCTTGATGGCACCATGACTGACCTGTCAAGGTTATTACAGCAACGTTCTAATATGTTTACAGTTAAAGTTTCTTGAAGAAGACATCTCACTTTCTGTGTGACGTAATTACAGGACAGTGCTGAGGTATTTTTAGTTGAATTGCCTCAATTGCTCAAAAATCATGAATTCATTGCATTTATCTGAATACTGTAAAATTCTGTAAGGTGATACCACATGCAGTAGTAGGCCATTCGGACACATCCCCCGTCCTCAAAACAAAGTGCAGATGATTCTACAGTCGGTGCAAACTATGAAAACACTGACCGTTATTTCGGAAAGAATATTAGCCAAATGCTCACCGCTTTGTTCGCGCTCCATTCTGACATGTTTAGATATCAATAACAAAATATAGGGGGTGAACACTGTAATGGAAACACTACAGACACTGTTAACATTTCATTATTAGGGTGCTGGACCATATTTTGCCTTCAGTACAGCCTTGCAATGACTCGTGCAAGTTTTGAAAGTCTCTATCGGAATTTTATACCATTCTTCGTGAAGATTACCTTCAGGTTGCTTTGAAGACGCTGGAGGTACGAACCTGTTCTTCACGCTAGTCTCCAAAACTGACCAGAGACGTTCAGTAATGTTCAGTTGTGGTAACTGTGTTGGCCAGGGAAGATGTTGAAGTTCACCTTCATGCCCTCCATACCATGACTAAGCAGTTACAGCCATGTGAATGGAGGCATTCGTCTTGGAAAACTGCACCGTTCTTCGGAAATGACGTCTGGACCATGGGGTGCACCTGATTACCCAACCTGGCCACGTACTCCATTGCAGTAATTCGGCCGTGAAGGGCAATACTGGTATCAGCAGAATACTGTACCATGACACTGATGCGCAAACCGTCACAGAACGTCTACAAACGTAAAATCTTTCTGATGAAGAGTACAGTTGAAGGACAACGTGCGCGTCTCCACTTGCCTCATGTCAAGGTTTTACTGTCGTGAATTCCACTTCAACGCAACTGTAAACTACTTTCGACGGCCTCTGTAGTCTAGTGGTCAGAATCCCTGGCTACAGATCCAGAGGTCCGGGTTCGACTCCCGGAACTACAAGATGTTCTGAGAAGTAGTGGGTCTGGAACAGGGTCCACTCAGTCTCGTGAGGATAATTGAGGAGCTATTTCAAGGAAATAGCGGTTCCGGTCTAGAAAACCGAAATTAACGGCCGTGACGATTCGTTGCGCTGACCACGCGATACCCTCTAACCGCTAAATTTGGCACTAACTTCGCCGACAAGCGCCGGTCTCTCGGTCGGTATAGTTCGCTTGCGGACTTAAACCACGGAGTTTGTTTGTTGATTTTGTTTGTGCACTAATTCAGCAATCAGACGTTAAGCAATTGCAGATCTACCGTTGTTAATGGTTTGTCCATTCGGACAGTTTTTGTGGAAACAGAGTCTGCGAGATGAATGTTCAGTTCTGCTGTCACTTTTGCTGCTGGAATTGTGATCTCTAGAAGCCATCCTTCTCAATGTACAACCATACATTTCTGTCAATGCTGATTTTCGCCGACTGCTCCTATT